AATTCATACTCGAATCTCTTAACAAAATATGACGATATAAATGAATGGTTGCTCTCGAATTAAACGAGTATCCTTACATCATAAGAAAAGACATAAAGGATACTTGACACTATGACATTGGATGCCCGAGCATCATGCCGGGTAATAGTAAAAATTCGAGCTTGGCCACTACTAATACTCATCTAACCATGACCTTTTGAGCCTTCATGACCCCCACAAGTTTTTCCTCGACTTTGTTGTGCTCTACTACTAAACCCTCGCCGTCCGGCCACCAAATCTACCATCATACTAACTCGGGGATAGGTTGGCCATAGGAGAAGCCTATACCCCCATGAAGTCTTACCACTATGTGATCTTGTATTTAGGGTAATCTCGTATCAAATGTCCCTATTGATGAAAAAAGAAACATGCTTCGTCCCGCAAAAGCATATACCCGGATGGGTCTCGCCCATGTTTGATAAATAGAATATTCCCTTCTAGAACCTTGATGAACTAAATGAGATGACAAAGAAGCTAGAAGATGTTTGGAAGATATAGAGAGAGGAGATCAATGAAAGTTAAACGATGAAAGCCCTCTTTGGAGAGCATCATGGAAAGTCCCGAAGGACTTGAGATCGAGAGATAAGTCCAAAATCCTAATTTGAAGGAGAAATTATCATTTTTTTCCTTCTTTTTTATTCCTCGTATTTGAGGTTTTTTATTTGGGTCATGATCCAAATGTACATGTAAGCTTTTGCTTGTGAAGAGTATATATAGGTATTCTAAATTGATGATGAATATATACTTAATCATAATCTAATTGAGGTTGTAATTTAGCACTCGTAATGTTATTTTTGAAAAAAATAATTTTAGCTAACTTGAAAAAAAAGGCTAAACATGCCAATTCGGTGTCGTTTGGCAAATAGTTTGGTGACTAGCATGACATATGAATCATCATATAAACTTTATATCCAAATCACTAATAAATCTTGTGATTTATTGTATCTTCAAATCACGCATTCAATATATATATATATAAACTAAGTCCAAGTAAACATCTTTGGCATTACTGTTGATAGTATCAATATATTAATAAAAAAATTATCTAATAAATTCCTAATATCATCTTCAAATCGCTAAAATCTTGTGATTTGTTGTGATCTTAATTTTTATGCTTTAGTACAGAGCACTTTAAACCAAAGTATATATTAAGGAGAAACATGTCAATATGTATTTATATATTATATTAGTTTTCAATTATAACGTTTTTATTAAAAAAAATCAATTAATTGTTATTTTAATCTATTTTTATTTTCTACTATTTCCTTTTATGTTATTTTACAATTAATGATTACAAGCGCAACACTATAAATAATTTCATATTAAAATAATGATTACAAGCGCAACGCTATAAATAATTTCAATATAAAATGATAAAAATGTCATTTAAATTAATAAAACACAAAACAAATATATGTGTGTACAAGAGTCTAAATATAGATAAATATGATTACGCATTGAAACTATCAAGTGAGATGATAAAAATAAAATAAAATTAAAGTGTTTTTTTACATTGATTTAAAAGAGGGGTTTTTTTTTAGGCAAGGGTGTATCGATATATTGATAGGTTTGCCCACCCATTCACATACGTTATACATTGAGTGACAAAGCTGTGTGGCCTAACGGTCTCCGGTAGAGGAATGGAAGTTGAAGTTTCCAAAGTAATTAAAAAGGATCTCCCCATACCTACCATGGGGCTATCGCAAATTTAATATGATTTGCTAGTGAAAAAGTGGAAGACTAAATCAACGCAATTAATAAAGCAAATCACAGTTTCAGTAATTGGGAGTCCGACAAAATTAAGCACCTAATTTTGACCATCTCAGCTGCTTGGTGTGACAAGTGACAATTGTACCGTTTCTTTCCAACCTTCTACCACACTGCAATTTTTGAGAACGAGCCATTTGGATGTGCCTTGTAACAATTATGTAAATTTATCTTTGCTTTTGTGAAGCTTTTATGGGTTCTTTATGGTTCAAACTTCAAAGCCTTGTTTTTCTTTCCTGTCTATTTCATACTACCTTACCTCTTGCCATTGTTGCATCGCATCTTTTTCTCCTTTTGACTTGTTTTGATTAACAATTGCTTTGTGTATTTCCAATAAAATATTTTTAAACAGAACCACAGATAAAAATGATCAGTCCGTATTCAGAATGACCCTTTGCATGGGCCTTATCGTTGCTGTATATTTTGGGCCAGCTTTTTCAGCCCAAGTCTGTCCTCTACGTGACCTATGAGTTTTTGTGCAGTACATCCGGCTTCTCTAACCGAATATATATATATATATATATTAATTAGTATTCACTTTAGCATTCACAACAATATATATCTAGACTCAATTTACTTGTTTACATTATTCATTAAACTATGTTGTGATATTATTATAATTTTTAAGACTTTTAAAGATATTTAACATACAAGTTATTTTTGCATTATACTTTTGATCTTTATGTATTTTTTTACACGTCGCATTACACTTTAGTATTTTACTTTTTTATATATTTTTGTTTCAATTTCGAACTTCATTTTACTAGGTTGGTTTTTTTTCAATAATTTATTTTTTAAAATTACTGATTTTTTTTTGCCAAAATTATAGAAAATTGATTGTTATTTTTTCAAATTTTAACACAAATTGGCAAAAAAGAAATATATATGATGCGTTTTATATATTTAAAAAATTATATATATGTTTTTTTAGTTTCGAATTTTATTTCACTAGCTTGGTCTTTTTTCAATAATTTGATTTTTTTAAAAAAAAATTATAGAAAAGCGATTGTTATTTTATAAGTTTTTACACAAAATGGCAAGAAAGAAATGCATATGATGTGTTTTGTATTTTAAAATAAATACATATTTCATATTATAGTATTCTTATTATTTAAAATTAATTTCTTCAATTTTTCATTTTTTATGAAAGTTCTCGACCAATTAACTTTTAATTTTTATTTTATAAAATTTTATTTATTAACAAATAATAGATTTTGGAGTTAAAATTTAAAACATAATCATCTTCTCTCTTAAAAAAAAAAAAAGAATTAAGATACATATTACAAGTGTATTTTAGATGATTTATCTCAGAGTTTTTTTAAAAAAAAAACTAAATAATTAATTAATAATTAATAATAAAATAAGAAAAAAAATGAGGAAAGAATTACTATGCATGCGTGCGAGGCATGCAGACAAGAACTGGCCATGTAAGGCCTAAGAACAGAGAGAAATATATGTAAAAATATATAAAAATTAATGTGTTTTATCTATACTATATAATAAAAAAATATTAAATAAATGACATATAGTTTGCTATTTCTTATAGTTTCTCTTCTATTAGAATTAATAATTAAAAAATAAATATGCAATAATAAAAATTCAACCAAACCGAATAATCACTCTAAAACTGAAATGATATTACTAAATATCAAACAAAAAAAATCGAGTTCACACACATATATAGTAAAGCAAAAAATAGTATTTATATTAAACAAATATCAAAAAAATATTTATTTGTAACATTCATAAATGATAATTTTAATATCATGGATATAAAAATAATTTTAAACTTGAAACAAAAGATTTGTACTAAATTATTTGTCTATCCACATAAAACTTAAATTAAATTAAACAATATGATGAAAAAACATCTTAATATATGAAACAAAAACAATATAAAATTCAAACAAACATATATGACTATATTCCAATCTAATTGTAAAGAAGAATATCATTTGATAATTAGTTTAAATGGAGATACTTTGATTTTTTAACAATTATTTTTACAAAAAACTTATTTTTGACGGGTAAAGGATGTCATCCTCCTCCTTGTTTTTTAGGAGTCCATGAGGTATTTTGTAGGAAATGTTATCCACAGTTTTAAAAAGGATGACATTATCCAAATCAAGAAAAAGAGTAAAAGGATTATATTATCCAATTTTTCTGTTAAATAGAAAAAAAAAAACTATTTTTGTTCTTTAATAGGTCATTTGACGGGAACGTTATCCACAATTTGTTGGACTGTTGTGTCTTTTGTCTCATACGGGCATACCACAGCAAAAATGCACACGTGGCAACAGCCAAAATCACCAACATTTCGATACCCTTGGATGGCATGGTTTTTGCAATTTGGTCCTAGCACTTCATTTGTTTCTACTTCTTACTTAGTTTATTCTAATTTCCTAGAGATAAAGGAACAGTAGTGTAGAAGTTTTTGTCATCCACAAAATCATCAGGACTAAATAATTGTGAGAGCTCCCAAAATGAGTTGGTTAAATATCACCCTTTCAAGGTAGGATATATAGTTGTAACTTTAAGTCTTTATTCGAAGAAATTATATGGATTTAGACAATTTAAAACATATTTATTTTCTTTATATGCATGGTAACCTCATTTTTATTTTTTCACGGGAATATTTATATGATTCAAAATTTCTTGAAGTTTAATTGAGCAAATTAATTAATCCTAGAACCTATTATTGATGATAATTTTTATATCGAAGAATTTGTAATTCAATTATAGTGATCTTTTGCGATAAGATGTTGTGAATTTAAATCTTAATATATTAGTTCTATTAAAAAACTTGAATGTGTAATTTAAAAAAAAATAATAATAATTTTTGTGCTTGAGCATGGTGGATCCACTATCGTTGAGGATATACTTACATGATTAGCAACAATATGGGTCACGAAATTCTTCTTTTTGGCAATTAAAAAAGATAAAGCATGTGTGAGTTAAAAAAATAATAATAATAATAATTTTTGTGCTTCAGCATCATGCATCCATCATCACTAAAAAAGATAAAATTATTGAATGTGTGAGTTAAAAAAAAGAAATAATAATTTTTGTGGTTCAGCTTTGGGGATCCACCATTGTAGGGGATATACTTATATGATTAGCAATAATACGGGTCAATAAATTCTTCTTTTCGTGGCATTTAATTCCATTAAAGAAACCAGTACATGTAGTTCAAATTAGTTTTCTTCAGGAATACTATGAAGCACGCCGACACATACACTATTGGAGGACATAACACTAACACGATCAACAGGAAGTTGCTCGAGCTCATGGGCTACATCTTTGAATTCAAGAACCCCTCCTTTACACTTGGACATTAATCGAGCTGCTTCTTGTTTTGTCATCTTAACTTTCACTCTAATCACATCTTTTTCTTCCACGCTGCTGGCATAGCTTCTTTTCTCCAAATTCTTCTTCTCATCCTCTTCTTTATAATTTGCCAAGCAACTATCACCTTTCTTTATCTTCTTCGGTAATATCTCCTTGCTCAGCTCATCTCTATATATCAAATTTGATCCCTTGATTCCTCTACGGCTTTCTGTAGTAGCTGATAGCATGCTATTAAAATAAGAGATTAAAGAGGTAAACATTTTGAGGCAGAGAAAATTAGTTAGTACGAGTGGAAAATGGAGATGCAAATTTTATGAGAGATGTTTTGTGGCATTTGAAACGAAGAGTGAAAAGTGTATATATAGAGGGTGATGGCTTAGGGAAATAGTGGATGGAGTGTCATATGGGGCACAAGGGAGACTTGGTGCAAAAGAGTTGGCAATTTACACATGAAGACAGGAACGTAGGCAAGACAAGTGAATGACTAAACCGTCAAGTATAAGACATGGGAAAGTCTCTTGCAATGTCTTTCAGTCAAGCATTAGTTAAAGTGATGATGCTTTATCAAATTAATTAGAGGAGCCCTTAAAAGACGAAATTTTTAGCATCTTTGAAAAGTTCACACCTGATATGTAAATATTTGGACGTAACATCACAATTACAAGGTGGTGAGGTAGACAAAATTAAAACACAATTTATACGTTATACGAGCAGTTTTAGTTTTAGCAATTATATTTCACTGAAGCAAATTTTAATAATTGCAATTTTATCGATTTTAACATAACATAATAAAGAATAAGTTATTTAACCTAAAGCTCCTTGAACGTTCTAATGAATAATAAATAAATAATTCAAAAGGCAAGGTTCCTGCTTCTTTTGTGTAGACATATTGGCAGGTGCATGCCGCATTATTTTGGGATAATTTAATTGTCTTGGCTGTGAAAACTAAATTTTAACCTCATACTATACAAGTGAGAAATGGGAATTCATCAATAAGCATTTGATCAAGTACTAGAAACAACGAGAGGATTAAAAATAATTAAAGTTCGAATCCTGCCTTTTTTCCCCCACCTATTAAAAGCCTAAATAAAATCAAAATCATGTGCCAACTATAAAAGCAAAGCTTAACAACGCACGGCTTGTATATTTCGACCTCTGCTTATTACATGTACTACGACTACGTATATATAAGAGTCGTAGGCTGCAGGATGAATACAAAGCCTGGATAATCCTTAGCTAAGATGTTTACATAGAAACTCTCTACTAAATAAGCTTGAGTTGCTCGAGCTAAAGTTTATCTCTATATTTTCTATACAAAGAGTTGTATCTAATCAAGGTTTCTACCGGTGTCCATAATATGTCCCCGCAAGCTGATCGTGGTGTCAATTATGAACAACTTGTGCCTATGATCTTCATGCAAGCTTCTGAGAGAGGCTTTGTTAGGGAGTTAGTAAGATGGTCTTGGGAGGAAACATGGACAACATGCGAGTGTTAGCTTGTACTTGAGCACGAACAAAGTGAAAGTCCGGACTTATGTGCTTCATCCCGTCGTGGAAGATCGGGTTTTTACGGAGGTACGTAGTGCTAATGTTGTCATAAAACACCGTGGGAACCGAGGTGAGAGGTAAATGAAGTTCACCGAGGAGGTTTGTAATCCAGTTGAGCTTAGCTACCGAAGCCGCAACAACACGATACTTAGCTTCGGTTGATGAGCGAGCTATCGTCCTTCGTTTCTTAGAGCACCAACCGATGGGGTTGGCACCTAAAAACATAAAATATGTTGAAGTTGATGTTCCGTCATTGAGATCTCCCGCCCGGTCGGCATCCGAGTAAGCCTTAAGAGCTAGTGATGAGGAGGCTTGAAGATGGAGACCAAAAGAGATTGTTTGTTTGAGGTAGCGAAGCACTCTTTTGGCGTATTGTCTAATGAGAGGCATGAGGATTATGCATGAATTAGGAGAGTTTGTTCACCGTATAATAGATGTCGGGACGTGTAAGAGAGAGATACTTGGAGAGCCCCAATTAGCACACGAAATTGTTTGGCATCGGTAGCGAGGTTGGTCACTAGCAGACAACTAGTTTTTCCATTATGGACATTGGGCTATGAACTCCCTTTGCTTCAAGCATGTTATGCTTGTATAACAAATCAATAATGTATTTCGTTGAGATAAAAATAGACCTTGTTTGTTTCTTGTAACTTCAATGCCTAGAAAGAAATTAAGATCCTCGAGATCCTCGAGGGAAAATCGAGTAGCAAGAGCACGGACTACCTTTTCAACTCGTAGTGAAAGAGTTCCCTATGAGTATAATATCGTCCACATATACTATTAGAAATATACGTGTACTTTCTTTGGAGAATATGAATAGCGAGGCATCCGAGTGAGAGTTTTGAAAACCATATGAGAGAAGAAATGTTACGAGTTCTTGGTACCATGCCCTTGGTGCCCGCTTGAGGCCTTAAATGGCCTTGCGAAGGCGACATACATGATTTGGAAACCGTGGGTGTAAGAATCCGGTGGTTGCTTCATAAACACACATTCCTCGAGGTCGCCTTAAAGGAAGGCATTGTTTATGTCAAGTCGACACAATGGCTAATGTTGTTGGATAGCAAGAGCTAGTATCAATCGTACCGTGGTAAGCTTGATAACCGGACTATATGTTTCAAAAAAATCCACTCCGAGTTGTTGTTTAAACCCTTGTGTAACTAGTCAAGCTTTATATCAATCAATGGTTCCATCGAGCTTGTGTTTAATTCTGTAAATCCATTTACATCCCACTAGATTTTGTGATGAGTCGGGGGAACAAGATCCCATGTTTGATTATGAACTAAGGCATTAAATTCGTGTTCATAGCTATGCACCGGTGAAGGTGTTTTTGAGCTTGTGCAAAGGAAGAAGGAGTAGTATCGGTAGTTACCGCAAGATAATCAAATATAGCTTTAGGTTTAAAAATATGATTTTTTGATCTAGTGACAATACCCGAGGGTGCTTGGGTGAATGAGAGGACCGATCGATGTTAAAGGAGCGAGACCATGATTAGCACTCGTAGAGGCCTCGGTATTAGACGTGAAGCTTATGGTCTGCTAGAGTAGGAGGTTCATTGCATATAGGTACGGGACTAGGAATTGGAGTAGTAAAATCATGAATAGTCCGGTTGATCGGGTTAGGCTTAGGTGGTATATCATGGCATGGAGATACATTCGTCCAACTAGTGATTTAAGATGGAGTTACATGGACGATAAGGGATGGGTGATTTTGGAAAGGAAATGTGTCTTCAATGAAGACTATATGTCGAGATAGGTATATGCGAAAAGTTGTAGGGTCTAAGCACCGGTAATAGTGGTGGGATTTAGAATAGCCAAGAAAGACACATGGGTTAGATTTGGGTTCTAGTTTGTGATGCTAATGAGGTTTAAGCCATGGATAACATAGGCGATCGAAGATGCGAAGGTGGTGATAATTATGAGTAGTGTGAAGCGAGAGATGCAAATGGTGATGTGTTTGGACAATTGGGAATGACATTCTATTTATGAGATATACCGTAGTCCGACATGCATATGTCCAAAATTGTAATGGTGTAAAGGAATGATGAAAAAGAGTGAGTGTTGTTTCTAGGATATGTTTGTGATGACGTTCGAGCAACTCCAACACGTTGTGATGTATAGGTTGGAGAGAAAAGATGTTGAATCCCATTAGCCGATAGGAAGTGAGTGAGTCTAAGGTACTCACCACCTCCATCCGAGTATACTCGTAATAATGGGCAAATGAAAGTATTTTTCCATAAGTAATTTAAAATTTTCAAACACTGCAAGTAACTTCAAATTTTTGTTTGATTGGATATAGCTAAATGTACTTCGTGTAATGATCTATAAAGATTACATAATAATAAAAATCATCATAAGAAGTAATTAGAGCTAGACCCCAAACATCCGTATAGATTAGTTCAAGTGGTCTAGAGCTTGTTAAAAAGAAAACACCAAATGGTAGTTTGTGACTTTTATTACAAAGGCAAGAATTGCAAAAATTTGAAACTCGAAGATTTTGAAAAGGAAAGATTATGAGCGAGTGAGAACTTACTGCAAGTGTGCATGTGTTTAGATGGCCAAGACGTTGATGCCATAATGAGTATGTATGTCCGTGGCTTGCGTAAAAAAGCTCGGAATGGAAGATGATTTTTGTGTACTTGGCCATTCATAGAGATGTCCCTTACTCGGCCTCAAACGAGCACTCGCCCCCGTGGTCAAGTCTTTCACAACAAAAAAAGATGGAAAGAATTCAATAGAGGTGTTATTGGAATTATAAAGCTAAGATATTGACAATAAGTTACGTCGGATTTTTGGAGCACATAGAACATTTTGTAATGTAAAGGAGTGAGTGGGAGTAGTAAGCTTGACCAAACCCGTGTGAGAAATAGGAATGTTATTACCATCGCCAACAATGATATCATCACCGCCATTGTAATCGAGTGCACGGACAAGTTTTGAATATCCGAGGTTATATGATGGGAGGCACCCGAGTCCAAGACCCGATTACTTTCGAGTGAGCATTAAGGTGCGTCTTGTGAAGTTAGCTCGGGGCTCGGAGAAACGTGACTCGCAAGCTTTGGCTATGTGCCCATATCCGTCACATATTTGGCACTACACCTTGTGTTTATTGGTTTGTAAAGAAGGAGACCGCCATTGGGAGTTGCAATGATCCGGTGAGTAATACTTTGAATGCAAAGAGTGTGATGAGTTCGCTGGTGTTATGATGACCGTCCTTTGACTTGTTATAGGAGGCCGAGTTATTATGGTTGTTACCTCCACGAGGTCTATCTCGAGCACGAATAGCTGCATTGATTGCCTTGTAATTAGATCCAAGTCCACCGAGAATCTTGATCACGAGTTCATCATTGCTTGAGTGGGGAGCCGCCTATGGCAAGTTCATCCGCAATTGTCTTTATCTCCCTTAGATAATCTGCTATAGGTTTGTTATCTTTTACCATTTTTTCTAGGCTTACTCTTAAACCATAGATTTTGGTTTGAGACTTATTTGTATAAGTTATTGATATATTGTCCCATGCTAGTTTGGAGGTAGACGCTGCTGCAACCAAAGGCGCAATAGTGGCATCAACGGATGACAAGATGGCATTTCGTAGTAAGTTATCTTGCCTCCGCCACTCGTTTAAATTCGGGATCGGGTATGGTGTGACCTTCATGTTGAATGATGTCGACTAGGCATGGGTATGA